CGATTGTCTTCCACAACAGGTTTGTGCATCTGTGACTAATATGGGAGGACACTAAAGTTAGAATTCAAAGTGTATTTTAAATTTAAGGCCACAGTACCCGAAATGGAAGTTTAGCTGACTTATAATTTTTTTTTTCCAGTTAAACTATTTTCACCATAAATTAGATTTTTTGTAAAAAAATTTTTTTGTGAATTCACTTTGAATTCTCATTTTTGTAAATATCCCTGTATTTTTTTTTTTCTGGTAAACTTCAGTACTGCTTGGGTATTTGAAACAAGCTGTTTATCCTCCAAGAACAGTTACAAACAGTGTACGAGCAACTGCTATGTAAACTAATAGCAGCTGTACTGTGGCTGTTGGTAGGTTATGCACACACTGCAATTCATAGTTTTACCACCCGCAGCTGAACTCCCTCCCGATTTTGTAAATGTCACATGTTTTACGTGCATGTAACTAAGATACTAGCAGTCACAGCTCTAGCCTATAAAACTGTTGTTGACTTGTGAGCCCCCTTGATGTGAAATTGTGTTTTGACTTTAAAAGTACTCTCTCTGTTATGACGTCTCCCCCTATATTTTGTGTATATTTGTTGCTTATTTAAATATACTGTTGCATATATTTGTGAAGTTTTAAACCTAAATACAGTTTCCAGGTGGTGAAAAGCTACAATTAGGAACCTATGGCAATCGCTGCTCTTCTTCCTTGTTACTCTTCAGAGCCCTAAACTAGATTCATGCTTTGCAGAAGTTACTCTCCTCAGAACCTTACCTTTTTACAGAGCACCAATCTGGTAGCTCTCGGTGACAGATTAGTATGTAATACAGATAGCAGGCATGGTGCATGGATTGGCTTGAATCCAGGTTAACTCTGTGAAGGAAATCTGGTACAATGACATATACTCTTACACGCACAAGAGAAAGAATGTCAGTGATTGGTAAATGCTGTGATTGACATCCACAGACGTCCTTCCAGGAAGCAGACTCTGCACCATTTCCTAAGATGTGAGCTGGCAGCTAATGCTTTTTGTGTACATTGGAGCTGACCCGTTAGCTATGTTAAACAGAGAATATTAAAATAGAAAACAGAGCCAGACATATATGTAATAGTAATGCTCACCATGTATCCCCCTGAGAGGCACACTACATGCTTGGCTAGGATCCCTTTTCAATGTGTGACAAGGAAGCCTAGCTAAGCAGATTATATATATATATATATATATATATAACACACACAGTGTAGCATACCTCCATAGTGTCCTGTCTGACTCAATCCCCAAGTAGCAATGTGTGTAATATTCAAAAGAAAAATTCTCAATAAAGGTGGAGCACCTCCAGGCTTCCCTTATTGCCTATGAGGTCCATCCAAAATGAGTGTTGGTGCCCATTTTGACTATTTAAGTTGTATTGTATGTGCTGTTTTGAAGAAGGAAAAACAGGCTTTATGGCTTTAGATGGGCTTATTTTTTCACTTGGACACATTCCTAAATTCTTTTTTTTTTTTTTGTTAATCTGTTACATTCCTATATTCTATAGGACCCGTGCAACATGTCATTTTAATAAAAACATTCAGTGTTTTCAAATATCGTATTTGGGGTATAATGTCGAATTTGTTTTTTTGCCGTAATTTGAGCTAAAACTTCTTACCTAACTGCATTATCATTTATGTACGTGTTTTTTTTTTTTTTATTTCCAGGATCCCTATTTTATGAAGAATCACCTGGGTTCTTATGAATGTAAACTATGTCTTACCCTTCACAACAATGAGGTGAGTTATATTCTTGGATAAAACACTTTAAAGGGACACTATAGTCACCTGAACAACTTTAGCTCAATTACGCAGTTTTGGTGTATAGAACATGCCCCTGCAGCCTCACTGCTCAATCATCTGCCATTTAGGAGTTAAATCCCTTTGTTTATGAACCCTAGTCACACCTCCCTGCATGTGACTTGCACAGCCTTCCATAAACACTTCCTGTAAAGAGCCATATTTAGGCTTTCTTTATTGCAAGTTCTATTTAATTAAGACTTTCTTATCCTCTGCTATGTTAATAGCTTGCTAGACCCTGCAAGAGCCTCCTGTACATGATTAAAGTTCAATTTAGAGCTTGAGATACAATTATTTAAGGTAAATTACATCTGTTTGAAAGTGAAACCAGTTTTTTTTCATGCAGGCTCTGTCAATCATAGCTAGGGGAGGTGTTCACAGTGAGAAGCACACAAGCGCCTCTAGCCGCTGTCAATGAGACAGCCACTAGAGGATTTGGATGCTGGATTAACCCTAACATAAACATAGCAGTTTCTCTGAAACTGCTATGTTTATAAAAAAAAAGGGTTAATCCTAGAGGGACCTGGCACCCAGACCACTTCATTAAGCTGAAGTGGTCTGGGTGCCTAGAGTGGTCCTTTAACACATAAAAACAATGTTTAAAAAAAAAAAAAAAGTCTGCTGCTTTTGAATTTAATAATTCGATTTCTTTCTTTTTTTTAGGGTAGTTACCTGGCTCACACACAAGGAAAGAAACATCAGACAAATTTGTAAGTTCCACCCTTGTAACTGGTCATTATTACACTGACTGTCAATATGCGCACATGTCTTTAACTGAACACTGAACGTGAGCTGATGCAGGACTGCACATATTGTCTGAAAGCGTTCAGCTGGTACATTCAGCCAATGGTTGTGGTCCTGCTTTGTTTTAAATGATCACAATTGTCACCAGAACCACTACAGGTTCTGGTGTCTATAGCATGTCCCTACAGGCTAAGCAATGAAGATGCTGCCTATTCAGAGAAAAGGCAGTGTTTACATTGCTGCCTAGTAACCCCTCTAGGTGCAGTCACTTAGACGGCCACTAGAGGTTCTTCCTATTTCATTGCTGCGCTATGCGCAGCACCTACATTCAGCGTCTCCACGCTCTGCATGGAGGTACTGGATGCTCCTCCGTATAAATGCATTGATTTATTGCATCTCTATGAGGAGATTCTGATTGGGACAGTGCATTATGCTGCGCAAGTATTGGATTGTCTGAGATCGTCAAGATTGATGAAATCAGCCATTGAGGTGGGGCCAGCCACAGTGAGACCAGCGCGACGATGGAGAAAAGGTAAGGAAAGCTACCCTTTTCTACAATCTTAAAGTGTCCTGGTACCTAAAAAAGTAGTCCAACACTATAGTGTTAGGAAAACATGTTTGTATTCATAACCCCATAGTGTTCGTTTAAGCAATCATTTGTGTATGTAGGAGCACAGAACTCAACACAAATCATGTTATACTGAATGGGTGCAAAAGATGGGGCAGACCACTTCCCCTAATGGTTTAAAATATAAACTGCAAAACACCAAATCCCAATGCCCACCAAGTAACAAGAAATAACGTCCATCATGTTTTCAGTGAGTATTACATTTGCTGTAAGGCACTCTTGTCCTGCATATTGCTGTTGGGGAAATAGACTTGCTTCCCATAATTAAGTTACCAACACTTTGTTGACTTTGTGTAAATAAAACTTCTGTTCTCTCACACCATTCTCAGATTGCCTCTCCAAAGCTGCTGCAATCAATCATTGTGGCTGTTTCTCTCCTTTCTCTGTGTGTGCTTCTCTCACACAGAGCCTCCTCAGCCTCCCTATTTCTTGTGTTATTTTAGATGTTTTTTTTTATTTTTTATTATGGATTATTTTCAATTTCTTTCCATAAAACATATTGAGTACATGAACATGAATCTAACATTAAAAAACACAAAACCCCATACAAGCAAAATTCACCATGTGTAACCAGAGTAATGCAAACATTTTCAACGGGTCTTTTCCCAATATTACCATATAAGGAATTTGACAGACGATATCTGTTCTTCAGTAGTCAATGTCTAAGGTCACACAAGATTTTCCTTTGAGAAGGTATTAACCTGACTGTTAGTGCATAACCTTTTCAAATGATATGATCATTCTGACCCAGGCAAATTGGAAACTGCACATCCGGTTCTATAAATTGCGTTTCAATTCTTTTATTAGTTGATATGATACGTTTTCAGACTCAGAAAGTTAACTTTTTTTTTTTAATATATAAATAAGGGCACGTCGAGCAGCAAAAGAGGCTAAAGAAGCACCAGCACAACCCGCACCAGAAAAAGTGAAGGTTGAGGTGAAAAAGTTTGTAAAGATTGGACGACCAGGCTACAAAGGTGAACATTTTGACTGAGCTTTTTCGTTTAATTTGCTTTATGTATATTTATTATTGAATTTGATTTATTTGACTTTAAATTTTTTTTTACATTTTATTATTATTTTAGTCACAAAACAGCGGGATTCCGAGGCAGGCCAGCAGTCTCTTCTGTTTCAGGTACGAACCCTCGTTTTGTGTATTATTTGTGGTATGATCTCTGTTTAAAGGAACACGCCAGACACAAAGCACTTCAGCTTGTATGGAGTCTCCGTCGTATTTGTGACGGTTTATAAAAGTTCAGTTTTATAGGTGAGTGCAGAAACACATCCATGTTTGTCACTGAGCAGAAGCAGTGTGTGTGCTGTTCTTGTGTGCGCTTGCCCTCCCCCTTCTCAATTAGCTGTACTACAATTCATTGAAAAGCATAGCAGAGCCACAATCGTGTGAATGATGAGAAGCCTCTGATTGGTGTTTATTTAATTTTTTCATATACCCCCCAAAGAAAACCTGCAGAAAAACATACAAGCATGTTTTTTTTTTAAGGATGTATCTACTAAGTTCTATGAGGGGGAAGGGATGGGGGGATAAATAATGTCTAGTTGAGTGTTAATCTTTACATGATTTTCCCATTAAAACATGTCTACTAGGAATGTTAGTCTGTCTTGTCACTGTCCTATTCATGAGTTAAGATCACACAGCAAATTACTGCTATCAGTGTTGTCTAGAATGAATCTCGACTCCCTCTTTTCTGTCCATAAACAATTATGTTTGGAATTTAGCTGCTGGTGCCAGATATTTCGCTGTGAGGAATGTGCTATTTTAGTGTCTTGCAACTTGCAGCCTGGAGTATTGATTTTCAACGAAAGTAAATGTGCTGGAAATTGTTGCTATAATTCTGTTTGTTTCTTTCCAGATTGACTATCCAGAAATAGCAGAAAGTATCATTCCCAGGCACCGTTTTATGTCTGCTTATGAGCAGAGAATTGAGCCTCCGGATAGGCGTTGGCAGTACCTTTTGATGGCTGCTGAACCATATGAGACAATTGCATTTAAGGTGAGATCACCTGTGGGCCTAATTCATTTGAGGAAATTCCAGAAACTAAAATATTTGGTGTTTCTGCCGTTTATTTAGACATTTTTCTATATGATGAAAATCCCTCAAAGTGATGAGCAGACACGATTTACAATTTAGTTGATTTGTCATTTTATCGCAATACAAATGTTTTGTTAGCTGTACTCTACTGTCGATATGCATTTATATAATTTGCCAAATTGAGTAGTGAACCACAATAATGGAATAGAAAGCAGCAAATAACGGGAGGAAGGGGAGCAGTGACATGCTGCTACCAGACACTCCAAGTACCATAACTACTGCATCCTACCTTCGTGGCTATGGTGCAAGTTGTGCCCTGGATCCCTCCCAGGGGGAAATTTAATCGCTTATATGGTGTCCGCATGGCATTTGCTGCCTTGTTGCGCTGGCAGCACCTTTTTGGAAGCCTCCATTAGCTCCCCTGAGCTACGTCCTGCCATGCAGGGCTCTCTCACTGTCTGCTCAGTTTTCAAACTGCTTACACTGGGAAGACGCCAGTGGGAGTGCGCCAGCCACTACATAAGTGCTTTAAATGTTCCTTTGCGCATCTAATACCATGTACTCTACCATCTTTTTTTTAAATTTACCTTGAAAATTTAGAATGAATGTTTTATTTATATGTATTATGTTGGCATCGTAATGTCACTGCCCTCTTACTCTAGTTTGCAGTCTCCCCTTCATCTTGTTTCTATAGTGAAACATTGCACAGTGTAATGCCACTCATCTCCACAGTATACCCTCTGGGATCTGTGCTTTTTAAAAGAAGCCCAACTCTGCATGGCTGAACTTTATATTGAGTTCCAGAAAAACATAGCCCATGCTGGAACCATGATATTACAATAGTTCTGTTCTAATCTAAAATTTCTGTCTGGAATTTATTTACCACTCTCAAATGGCGAGGGAGGGAGGGAATGAAAAAACACTGTCTTTGAAGGAGCAAACCTTGCTGGCATGGTCCATCATTAAACCAATAAAAATAAAATAAATAAATAAAACATGTCCCCCACATTGTTCCTGCAGCCCAATCCTCCTCCGGTGACGGGATGGGACATTCCTGGGGGAAGACCTGGTTGGCACCGAGAGGGGGCTTGTTCAGGGCTGGCTCATGACGCTGCCATCTTTGCATATACAGGATTTCAAGGCTACTGTGTGGCACTCTCACTAGATGCAAGCAATTTGTATTTTTTGCCTCGTTTGCAGCTTTAATATATATTTAATGATTATTTTTTTTTCAGGTCCCAAGCAGAGAAATTGACAAGGTTGAAGGGAAATTCTGGACCCACTGGAATCGTGAAACCAAACAGGTAACCAGTCATACTATGTGCTTACAGTTTGAACTAGAAAAGAACATGACATTTTTTTATTTGAATTTGCAAATGTAACACTTAGATGGTATTTCAACTTGGAATACATAATAGAATTTGGTACTTTGCAATACAGCATTGTATTGAGCTTTAACCAGTAGACTCAGCCAAATGTACTTTCTTAAAGGGAAACTATAGTGCCTGTAGTGTTTAGTAGTATAGTGTTTACCTGGCACTATAGCTTCCCCCTCCCTTGTGGGGAAGAAGGTGTTACCTCAGTCCAGAGCTGATGCTCGCTCGAGTCCACCTGCGCTCCTCCGCAATGGCTGCGCCAGCATTAGGATGTCCCCTATATGAAAGCATTATATAGTGCTTACCTATGGGGTTTTGGGTAGTCCTGCATAGCGTGAGGACGTCAGGCGACCAAAATGCACCTGACGGTACGGAAGTCCCTCTAGTGGCTGTCTGGTAGTTAAAGTGGAGTTAGCCCACCAAGCTAATTATTGCAGTTTCTTAAAAACTGCAGTAATTATCTTTGCAAGGTTAAGAGACCTGGGACAGTGCACCCAGACCACTTGAATGAGCTGAAGTGGTCTGGGTGCCTTTAACTTTCTTTAGCGGTGCTTTGTTTTCTTCTCTAAGTCATGACATAATGTTTTGAGAAAGTTATAATCTTGCAAGTTGGGATATAGAGGCAGAAAGGTTGTGTTTAAGAAACAAAACTAAAAAATGTTATAGATTAATTATAATGGTATTTAAAATAACCAATGAACTATGCATTAATGTAGAGATGTCATGAACAGGGTTATTTTTTCCTATTAAATCACAGCTAAAATCATAAGATTAGTTTTGGGAGTAATGGGTATTCCAAATTTTGAAGAAAACAATTTTGATTTTCTTCTCCCTGTCCCTCTCAGTTCTTCTTGCAGTTCCACTTTAAGATGGAAAAGCCTCCACCAGTACCTGCTTTGCCTCCAGCACCACCTGGCATTAAAAGACCACCACCACCTCCATTACTCAATGGGATGCCACCTCGTCCTCCAATACCAGAAAGCATGCCACCTCCACCTCCAGGTGGTATGCCGCTGCCTCCTATACCTCCTGGAGCACCTGCTCCTCCAGGTCCTCCTCCACAGCTCCCACCTGCTCCAGTGGTACCTCCTCCAGGTGTACCTCCACCTGGACCACCCCCTTCAATGCCTCCCCCTGGTGTTCCACCTCCTGGTGTTCCTCCCCCTCCACCGAATCCTACTGTGCCTCCACCTGGCGTGCCTCCTCCTGGTATTCCTCCACCAGGTATTCCTCCGCCTGGTGTCCCTCCACCTCCTGCTCCAGGGGTTCCTCCACCTCCAGCACCTGGTGTCCCCCCTCCACCAGCCCCAGGCGTCCCACCGCCACCAGCACCTGGTGTACCTCCACCAGCACCTGGCGTTCTCCCACCTGGACCAATGCCACCGATGTTGAGGCCCCCTTTGCCTAGTGATGGACCTACAAATATCCCTCCACCCCCACCTACTAACTGATCTCTGATTGTCCTAATATTTTGGACATTTTGTAACATTTATTTTAAATCTTTAAATAAACTGGACAGCTTGAGTAAATTTGACTGTTTTGTTTTTGGTATTTTTTTCAGACGTTGTAGCCTTTGCTTATGATTGTAAAATACAGAGCACCTTAAGAACTATATACTGAAAATGTTTTAAATTACGATTTTCTACTGTGGTATGTTGGAAATGTGTGCTTTTTGTGTTTGTTTCATCAAGCAGCATAGGTCTGCTTGAAATAAAGATGGTTGTTTTTTTTTTTTTAAATTTGTCGATGTCTATTTTAGAAATAAAATGATAGCATTGAATCTTGATGGCTGCCCAGTCTCTGAGTGGCTTACTGTTTATCGCAGTGAGATACTTTAAATTTCACATGTTTTTATCAGAAGGGAATATACCTGTAATATACCTGCAACTTGTAAAAACCTATCCTTGTGGTATCAAGACCCCTCAACTGCCATTGCTGTATGGCTAAGCCTGAAAGCTGACTGATGCTATCAAAACTCAAAAAGAAATTAAATGACTATAATCATAATAAATGTCTTTGTTTTGTTTGTATGTTTTTTGACATACTATATTTAATTTAACATAAATAGCTAGTGTGTTGTAGTATTTTTATATAGAATGTCCTAACACCAAGGCAATATAGGTTTTTGGTAATTCAGATTAGTGGCTGCCACTAACCAGCAAAAATAAATTTTATTCTCAGCATTTAAAATACATCTATAACAATATATTTTTACAGTTAAAATCCAATTGGTTTGTGTAGTCTGTCTGCTTTCGGTCAGTAAGATCATTCTTTTTATTTCCGGTCTGCCTCAAGCTTCCAGTGAATTAGGATCTATATTGTGTATCTACAGCTCATTCTGTCAATTTGTATTTCCTCTAAATATCTTCTTTGCTGGGCAAATATTTGTGTTGTATAATTTGCTACTGTCTGAATAATAAAACATATAATAAGGTAGATCAGGTGCTAATTGGTAGCCAGATACAAAAGTCACATAAGACAGCCACAAGACAAATCATTATTTTAGCCAAATCACATATCCGGATTAAAGCAGTTTGCAGACAAAAATAATTATAATTAAAAAAAATCTCAATCGATTTTTGTCCGTGTAAGTTTACATTTAAATGTTGGATTTTAAAGGTGTCTTCCCCCAACCTGCCTTTGGATGACGTGTACGGTACAACATTGAGGCTCACTGTATTATTAAATATACATGTATTGTAAATTTATAATATAAAAATTTAATATGACTTAATTTGTGGCAAATATTTGGGTAATACTTGGTGAAATTGAAGGAATTTTATTTTAACTCTGATGTTGGTGTTTCAATAAAATGTGCAGCGTTAATAATACTAGAGTTGTCCGACACCTGGCTATGAAATGATTAGAATATCCGTGTGAAAGTTTGTAAAGAATATGCAAGTAATGCTGGATTTGTTACAATTTTAGCAGTAGGTCTCTCCCTCACTGTAGAACACATAGCATGTTGTTCTGCACTGCAAGACCCTCTGATTATTCCATTGTAAGTGCTTTGCTTTGTAAATTTTAAAAATTATTATTTATTTTTTTTTTTAAGCAATAGAGGTATTGTTATCCTGACCCCATTCAAGGACAAGGTGGTTTAGATTCTTTCACAGGGGCAGCTTTCTAAAAATAGGTGGCAAGGGATCCCATTCCATCTGGCAAAAAAAAAAAAAATAGACAATGGACCTCTTAGTTTGGGAATATACATCCCACAGGGAACTCAAGGTCTCTGTTCAGTCCAAAATACGGGAACATCCCTCCCTGGTGAACAAATTTTGGCAGCATCTCCTCATCTCACAGAATAAACATCACTGATGTGACAACACCCTCTTCCTTTCCAAGGTGCTATCTAAGGACTAGATAGTCTTCTTTTGCAAGATGTTTCACTGCCTTGGTGTGCTTGTCGAAAAATAGGTCTGCTATTGTGTTATTGTTGAGACTGCTCCTACATTTTGCATCCAATAATTTGATGATGAGAAAACGAAATCTTTGCTGGTGGCTACTGTTGCTACCTGTTTTGTCCCAAACATTGCCTAGTAAAGTAGAGGAAATGGGCCAAGATTGGATTGGACAAGAGAAAGAGCCAGTGTTACAGGTGGAAGAGTTGTTGGACAAACCTGTTCATCGTATGACACCTGACGTGGATCAAGGTACTTTGCATGGTGTGGAATGTGGGCTGGAAGGAACTGGAGTACTTGGGCATGACTGGGGCCACTTGGAGACCCAAGGAATCCTCAGGGACTGTGACCGTGGATTCCTGACTGCGGTTAAACGTGATTTGTGGGAAGCAGGTGACCTGGAGATATTTGGAATGTGTCCAGATGATAAGCAGTCAGCCACTCTTCTAACCATGAAACAACTTGCAAAATTCATTCAAGAATCTGAAGGAAAACATTTGGTGGTCTTGCAAATGGAGAAAGGTAAGTTAGCCTTAACTTTTGGTTGCTGCTTATGGTTGGCTAGCTGTTTCTAAATATGACTGCAATATTTAAGTCTATCTAGTTATGAATTAGGTTACTGGATATCTGTGTATAGGTTTATCTGAAACAAAAAAATATTTTGACAATATTTGCATATTTTGTAAATGCAATAAATATTGTAAGGATTTCATTAGGGTCAAGGAGATCATTGGATTGAACAGCCTTCTGATGTTGGTCATTGGAACTGATATAATGTGAAGCCAATAAATGAACACCTGTTTCCTTAAATTTGCAAATGCAACTCAACCAAACTCATTTTATGTTATTTGTAAAGCTTCATACTCCTAAATCAATGTTGATCTAATACAGTTTTACATCATATGTTAGATGTACATCCGCCCACCCATCTTTTGATGATTACTCTTGTCTGTCCTTTCACTTCTGCATTCTTCAAATAGTGGGTGCTCAAAAGTAGATATTTAGATGTTGTATAACTACAAAGCATCTTGAAAGTTGGACACTTCAGACCTCTAAAGCACTTGCATGTCCTTTTATTTATTTTACAAAGTGCAGATTTCAATAGAAATTGATTGACAGCCAGGTGGTGTAACAAGGTTTATTTAAAAATAAAAGTGCCAGACAACAGATCCTGTTACTGCCTGGTTTGTGAAGCTAAACTCCAGACAGGTAATTGCCCAGAGCACCTGCCTTAACAAAGACTACTCATTGAGCTGCAATAGCTTTGAAATATAGTGGTTGGCTTTGCACCTCTTCCTGAGTTGAGTTTCAAAGCTGTTTTATACAGAAGACATATATTCCAAGGCAGTGGTTCCCAAACTAGTCCTCAAGTACCCCCTACCAGTCCAGGATTTAGGAATCACCCAGTTGTGTCCGAGGTGTTTTTAGAAAGAAACACGTTAGACACAACTGGGTGATTCATAAATCCTGGACTGGTAGGGGGTACTTGAGGGACTGGGTTGGGAACCCCTGCTGTAAGGAATCCACGTATAAAGTGGACTAAATGAGGCAAAAAGGTGATTCATTGAACTAATTTGATATGTCCACCCAGAATCCATTGCAGTAGTAACATCACTGCAAATTTGAGATTTCTGTGGGAAAAGCAAGTCTTATGGTTTGTTTGGTGCTTGTAGAATTGTATATTATCTGTACATATTTGTTTGTGTGTATGTATGTATATATACATAGCCCCTAGGTACACACACAACACCCCCCTAGGCTCACACACTCTGCAGGCCATTTAAACACACACACATACTTTACAGCCCAGAAACACACATTACAGGCCCTAGCCCCACACAATAAGCCACAAACATACCCCTTTACACACTACAACACAAACAGTCTCCTCTACACCAGGGCCACCAACAGGGCATGACAACCATGACGGTTGTCATGGGCCTGGCGGTCCTGGGGGGCCCTGACTGCTCAGGACGTCCCGGGCCCCACATTAGCTATGTGCACACACATATATATATATATATATATATATATATATATATATATATATATATATATATATATATATATATATATATATATATATATATATATATATAATATATATAGCGATTAACGCTATATATGCGTGCACTGCGGGCCCCCCGCTGCCTGTATTCTGCAGGGGGCCCAGCACACTTGAAATATACCTCCCAGATGCTCTGCTCTGTCGAAGGCTCGACTTCGACAGAGCAGAGTAGCTGGGAATTATATTTCAAGTGTGCTGGGCCCCCTGCAGTATACAGGTAGTGGGGGCTGCACCATGCTTCAGGACCTGCGGCTCCAGACAATGTGATCTCCCCACTCCATGGCCACAGGTAAGATACAGGGAGGGGGGAATAAATCACTATAATTAACGTAAGAAAAAAAATACTGTAGGCTTTTCCCCCCACATTATGCAGCCCCATACATTTATACACTAACATTTACACGCACTACTTCCTTACACAAACACACACTACTTCCTTACAAAAACACATACTCTGCAGTCACTACACACACACTACATCCTTACACAAACACACACTCTGCAGTCACTATATACACATTAAATATTTACACAAACACACACTATGTAGTCGCTATACACACACACACACACTACATCGACTATACAGACACACTCTGTATTCACTATACATACACTACATTCACACACTGTATTCACTAAACACTACACACACTCTGCATTCACTACACACACTGCATCCACTACACAAACACACACTCTGCATCTAATATACACATCATACATTACACAAATGTACACAATGCATCCGTTAAACACACTCTGCATCCACTACACACATTCTACATCCACTATACAGACACCAGAATCAGTACACACACTGCATCCGTGTGGACGGACTCGGAGGGGGGGTGGCAGCACTTTGGGCGGACTCGAGTGCAGGCACCAGGGGGCCCAGACCTTGAGCTGTGTCAGAGGCTCCAAAACTTCTGATGGCAGCCCTGCTCTACACACATGCATACACACACACACATCTTCGCATTAAAAAAAATAGATCTGTTCAGATTTTGCTATTGTTATCCATTTTGTGGCACTCGGATAACTCCACTGCGGACTTTATTCACTACACCGTGAATTGTTGAGCATCCACTGTGGGATTGCTAGATTTACTTTAAAACGGATTAGACACATTCAGCAGCAATTAAACCCTATTTTTTTAAGGTGTAATCTAAAATTAGTTTCCTTGCCGATTCCCCACAATTTCTTGGGGTGTCTAAACCCCAATGTATAGGGACCAGTAGCATTAAGGAACGTGTGACTGACTCTTCAGAATACACTTTGTATTATTGGAATCTCTTTCTCCAAAATACAGACAAGGGAACCTAGACACAATGGGGGAAGGTGGAGAAGCATCTTCTTAAACTCAGGAACAGTCACATGGGCTTCTCTTGGCTATGTATGTTTTTCTTTGCCCTGTGGTTCATTACTGAAATAGGTACAGTGCAATCCATATATGTCCATTTTGTACCTAAATTTTTTTGGGCTTGTAGATCACGGTCTTTGGTAGAGTTTTCAAGTACGCCCTCCAACTCAGAAATAGAGGCATCGGTTGTTGGGAGTCAGAATTGGACATTCCAGGTCTTTAAATTGTAGGAAATCAATGTTACTATTTTGTTGTCTCCAGTGGAATGGGAGCCTGGAACCATCCTGGAGTTTCAGGGCACCATAGAGGAACACACCTACTCCTTACTGCAGCACACTCACCTCCTGGCACTTGTGGTCTACCCAGACACACAGAAGTCCTCTGTGGGGAGTCATCCATCCAAACTCTTGGTGTCCGTGGAAGGTCAGCCACAGGATCAGGTAAGATTTAACTTTGTGTCAACTGTTTTGTATTGTACCCGTACTCATAACAGGATTAGACTGTAGTCATTGGCTATGATATCACCTGATCCTCTCAGCCAGTAAATACTGTCTAATGCTGGTATGAATTGGTGTGATAATTTGGTAACTTGGACTTCTGATTTATCATAGCTTTTCAGACCTGAAGCAGCGCAGGCGCCCAGCACAGCAAGGTATAAAACCATTCATAAATGATTTGACAGTTACTATCAGCTGACACCCAGTGTGCTGTGGGGGTTACATTGCTTAGAGTGTCCCTTTAAGCGACTTAGATTAACTTGACGGGGGGAGGGATAAAGGGTAGATTAGGGCTTTCATTAATGATGCACAAACATATAGGAAAAATCACATAAAAAAAAAAAAAAAACTCACTTTTTTTGCAGGTTGTGTGCATGTCAACATCCACCCAATATTTGGTCTTTAGAGTGAGAGGGACCATGAAGAATGTTACTTCTGACCATATAAGATTTCACCTATCTGTCCATTTAAAAGACCATTCTGATGGTAAGTGTTGTGATAGACTCACCAGTAGTCGATAAGGACTAATTCTATTTTTAGTGAAAAATTCTGTTTGAAAATTTTTTATTATGGAGTTCGACAATTTGATGTATTATGCATATAATATTACTGATACTTTCTATGAAGATTACCTACATAAAAAAACAAAACTTTTTTTTGTTTAAATGGAGCTTGTTTTGACTCTACTCACCTTACAATCAAGTGCCGCTATGTCCTCATAGAGGTGCACCTCTGGTCTGACCTTTCTCTTACCACAGTCGGCAATTTTTCCTGCTTATTGAAAAGTCCTTTATGATGCTGACATTGTGGCTTCCTTGCCAGCATGCCAAAGTCTGATAGAAGTGACATCCGTCACTCCATTCCTACGAGCCACCATCAAAATGTTTTTGGGCCCCTTAAACAGCTCCCCTGATTCTGCCATTAGGAACCAACCCCCATCCCACCACCATCTTCATGGCACTCAGGATTATAGTAAGGGATGTAATTTGTTTGTAGGGAATATAGTGTGCGTTTGTAAAGTGGATGCAGTGTGCAGGACGAATGCAAGGCGTTTTGGCTACACAAACTAAAGTGCATTTTGTCATCCCCTCCACCCCCCTGAAAAATGCATCTTCACCTGTGTGTCTGTTAACCTTCCTTCAGGGCCGGTGCTAGGATTTTTGACTACACAGACGAAGATGCATTTTGACAGGATGGCTAAAAGATCCCCATCTGTCGTGCAACTTCAACAAAGGTTTGAAAGCTGGGGCTCTACCGATTCCCCATGCTTGCAGGATTGTATTTAGCACGGAGCAGTATTTGTGTGTGTGACTGTAAGCATGTGTTTGTATAGAGTATGTTTGTGTGAATGTAGGGGTGTGTTTGTATTGTAGTGTTTGCGTTTGAATGCAAGCATGCATTTATGTGTAGTGTTGGTTTTTGAATGCAGGTGTGTGTTTATATATAATTTTGGTCACAGAGGTGTGTTTGTATGTAGTGTTGACGTTTGCATGCAGGTGTTTATTTGTGTGTAGTGTTGGTGTTTGAATGCTGAGATGTATGCACAGATACACATACACTGCCACACACGCACACACTGCGATACACATACATGCAGATACACATATTCACAAACTGATACACATTCAGATAGACAGACATACAGATACACACATATACAATGATGGACATACAGATACACACAGACACTGACAGACAAACATACACAGACAGACATACACAGACAGGCACACACACACTTTTATAGCCACTCTCCTGTTTCCTACTTTGTTCAGGAGGGTGGCTTACCTGGGATCCAAAGTGCTGCCTGAGGTAGTTGGAGGAGCTGGTCCTGCCTAGCCCCGCTCCTCTCTGCCTTCTCCTGCTCTCTGCTGTAGTCTTCTTGGGAGGAAGTCCTCCCATGCTGATTAGAAGGGGGCCAGCGGTAGCTCCGCCCCTGCTGGGCGCCAGTCGCTCTGTGTACTACAGATTGAGCAGGGATATGATGTGTTCATATCCCCGCCCCTCCACACAGTCTGCGGCACTGCAGGTTAGCGCTCGGCCACCCGGACATTTGCGCCACCTGGCCAGTGCGCCCCAAGGCAGCCGCCTTATGGACGCGCCGGCCCTGCCTTCCTTTTGAATGTTTTACCGCCTTTAGTCTATCTTATCCCCTTCTTTTATCTAATCTTGCATTTTGACTATTTGTGTGTCTTAAACTACCTTTAGTTTACATTACCCCCCATGTGTGTGTCTCTTACTCCCCCTCTTTGTGTATAGTTATTTCCGACACAGCCCATTTGCGAGTCTCTTACTCCACCCACAAAGGTGGAGTAAAAGGTTTACTAAAGGTTTGACTTCTTACCTGGATCCAACAAGCCCTGGTCACCTCCATCAGTGACAGCTGGAGGTTCTATTAACCCTCCTGAGCTAATTCTTACCTTGCAGGATCAGATGACTGGCTGAGAGTGTTGGCTGATTGCTCTTAGACAATTAGTTAAATGTAGAGCTTATGACTCTTAGAAGGGGTGTTCAGCGGCCGGAGGACCCTAAGTAACTTGTCACACGTTTAGTGAAATGTTTGATTACCTAATGGGTGGGAGCCAGACCAACCCTGGCACAAGAATCACTTCAGAGTGCTTTATATATATATATATATATATATATATATATATATATATATATATATATATATTTAAGAAGAATGTTTAAAAAATAAATTACAGGATCCAAATGCGTTATGCTGGTAAAACGGAGGTTCTACCAAGAATTGACTCATGAGGATAAATACATTCCAGGTTGTAACTAAAAAACGCAGAAACATCCAGTGATGGTAAAATAATTAATGCAAGGCATTGGGTATGAAATAGCACCAGCAGAGAAACTATTATGTGTCAACGAAACCCAGGTTATTATAGTTAGAGAATTTACACTTCTGCTATTTTGACCTAAATCGTCAGTTCTCCATATCATTTTTGCATGTGTATCGTTTTTAAATCTATGTTTGGGCTTCTCTATTTTCCATCTACTAGGACCTGGCCTACCAAAACCTGAAATTGAAAGGCTCCTTTTTGGGAAAGACAAGTGTCTCACCAAGATTACTCCAGCCTTATTCATGGTTTTAGGACAATCACATAGAGAAGCTTCCCTCCCCATCTCTCTGGAAAACCCTGAATCCAGGTTTGTATTTCCTTCTAACTTGTATTTCTATTTCAGGGCTGCGTTTAGAAATTTTGGGGCCCCTAATACAGCTCAAGATCTGGGGCACACCCCCGAGTCTGCCCACGGGTGTGAAGTGTGTTTGTGTAGGGATGTGGCGTGTGTATAGTGAATGCAGTGTGTGTTTGTCTAGGCATGTAGTGTATGTAGAGTGTGTGTAGTTGAAGTAGTATGTATAGTGAAAGCAGTGTGTGTTTGTGTATATAATGAAAGCATAGTGTGTGTGTGTGTGTGTATATATATATATATATATATATATATATATAATGAATGCATAGTGTGTGTGTGTTTGCATAGTGGATGCAGTGTGTATAGTGACTGCATAGTGTGTGTGTGTGTATATATATTATGAATGCATAGAGTGTGTGTGTATATAATGAATGCATAGTGTGCATTTGCGTAGTGGATGCAGTGTGTATAGTGACTGCATAGTGTGTGTGTGTGTGTGTATATATATATATATATTATGAATGCATAGAGTGTTTGTGTAGATAATGAATGCATAGTGTGTGTTTGCGTAGTGGATGTAGCGTGTATAGTGACTGCATAGTGTGTGTGTGTAGGTATGTAGTGTATGTAAAATAGGAGTTGCAGTTAGTGGGGGAGATATTTTTTTTTTTTAAACACACCTGTTAAACATTCTAATCCCCACTCTCTGCTTTTTACCTGTGGCCAGGGATGGGGGAGATCGCATTCCCTGGTGGTCCAGTGTTCACTGCAGTAGGGGCCCGCAGCACACTCCATCTTCCCTTACCAGCAGCTCCTCTGTCTCTAACGCTCGCAAGAGCGTCCTGTGCTGAGCATTGCCATGGTAACCCGTGGCAACACTCTGACGGCCGCGTGAGAGTTAGAGACAGAGCAGCTGCTGGGAACTGCAGAGAACAGGAGCCGGGGGCCTGCAGGGTGCAGGTGCATATATATATATATATATATATATATATATATATATATTGGGGCCTGGAACTCCGTGAGCAGTCCGGGCCCATGACAAACGTCATGGTTGTCATACCTTGATGGCGGTCCTGATCTATTTTAAAGGTTTATTTGAAAAGCCTATTAGGCTTTTAGAACAGTTCTGGTGTATAATTACATGCATTTCATTCCCCTATATGCACCATACATTTTATTTTCTGTGTTGTACTTTTGTCATGTATTGTTGCATTGTAATATACAAAATTCAAATATTACATTTCTGGAAACAAGAACACAACTATCTCATTGTCCATATTAATGTTTGTAAGAATGCTATGTTTTATTTATATTTTGAACGAGGTGCGGAACTATCGGTGATGCAGCCAGTGTGACAGACCCCAGCAGTTAAGGGGTCAGAATTCAAAATGAATTTAAATTTTAGGCTTATACAAAGTAGATATTTCATTTATTTTGCTAATATGCTAGCACTCCATTATCATGAATTAATAGGCACATCTATTTACAGTTTTAAAGAAAGCATGGATACTCAACCTGTGGTTGAGAAGGATGACTTTTTAAAGACCCTGGCTCGATTCTCCTCTCTCCTTATGGGTTCTAAAGGCAAGGCAAAGACATCTGTCTATTTTTCCCCTGATCCTGCTGATACCAGAGGTGGAGTTTTGCACCCTCAACTTTTCAATGTTACAGAAGTTGAGGCACTTGAGTGGTTGGTCGAGTCTCAAGAACCCTTGGTTTTCCTTTTTTTGCCAGGGAGTAAATATCTTCTGGGAACTACATTTCAAGAGAAATTTAATGGAACGTTATTGGATAAAATGACTGTGAAAATCCAAGAGGTTTTAGAAGATCTTGAAGAGGTTTTGTCTGATGGAGAACAAGTCCAGATTCTTCAACACCTACTGAGTTTCTGCCATGGCTTCTTTAATGTTAGCTATTTGCCCAGGACAGACAAATTACTACAGTTGGGAGAACACAAACATAGAAAACTTCATTCTTTGATGCTACTCAAAGTCTTGCAAGCAATTCGTACATATTGGCAAGACCACAAGAAACTATCACGGCAGCACCGGGGTGCTGGTGCTAAATCTTACTGCCGCCTTCAGGATCTTATCATCAGCCTTAAACCGTATGCAGAATATAAGCATGTTCACCTCCCTGATGAAATCAACATCAACAACTGTGTGGGGCCGTGCCGCTTCCCACAAACAACACAGAGTGACTACCAGGCCCATGTTGTGTTGTTAATCCAACTGCAGGAGAGAAAGCAACCAGAACTTGATAGACCTCCATGTTGCGTTCCTGTAAAATACCAAGGGCAATGGCTTATGGTGGCAGACGAGAATGGTTTGACCCTTCGGCTATACCCCAACATGGTTGCCAAAGAATGTGGCTGCCGGTAAGGGTATATTAACTGGCTGTTTGCATCACTTCCTTATTATATTATTCAACATTATTTACTAAAAGTTGTACAATGTTATAACTTAATGAATTTGCCCAGATACACTCAATTTCATAATTTTTCCCTTGAATTTTGAAATGCAATCTGCAAAGTAACGATCTTATTTTCTTAAAAGAAATTTGAGAACGAAATAATTTGAAGTGTATCTGCCACCATACAGTCAAACCAGTATGACAAACGTGTCTATACTAAGGGTCCAAGAAACCAGAAGAACCAGTGACTCAAACTTTGTGAATAAGGCAGTTTTATTGGAGAACACAGCTTTCTGTATTCTCCAATAAAACTGCCTTATTCACATATCTTGAGTGCCTGCTGGACCATCTTGTTTCTTCTACTATTGACTGAGGACCAACCAGTGTCTGATCCTGCTAAGCACATAGTTTGTGGAAAGAGTGTCGGAAACCCTTTGTTTCTATATTGCAATATTTATTCTAAGATTCCTCTATCATTCCAGATGCTGAGAATTATGGACTATGTAGTCAACACCATAGCACATGAAATGGCAGGGGGTACATGTTCTTGGTCTTATACCTCCTAACATTTTAAATGGACAAACGCGGACACTTCAATTTTACAGGCGGGACTGAGGGTGTGAGTTAGAACAATGTATCTTATCTACACAGACTTATTTGTAAACACATTTATTGTAGTTTAAAGACACATCACTATGAGTATTATTTTTGTGAAGCTCTGTTATACACTCAGACACACCAACAATATAGAGCTCCTTGAAAAGTTGGACTAACAAACATTTTTAATATTAAAATAGGGACTGTCCCTTCTTAATTCCGGCACTTGGGAACAATGTCATCTATATGCTATGTGTACATATTTCTTGCTATGATTAACACCTTGACATTTACAACAATATTCATCAACATGCCCTTGTTCTCTCAAATGGTTATTTTTCTGAAGTCTTACAATTTGGGTGTGTGGTTTATTAGATGTTACTCCTGACTGTAACCAACATTACAAATGCTTTAAATGCCCTGAACAGTAGGATGAAGTATATCACTAACAATAATTTGATGTAGTATTTACTGAGACGGAACACCTAAAGCCTTTTACTATGCAGAAGACCAATTTCCTATAAACCTTTTTTTTTTTTTTTGTTTAATTTACTATTAAAGGGACACTATAGGCACCCAAAGCACTTCATCTTATTTAAGTGGCCTGGGTGCAGTATCACTGTCCATTTAGCCCCGAAATGTAAAACATTGCAGTTTTAGGTGTTGTCTAGATTTTTTCCAGCTGGGAAATATATTAAAGGGGCACTCTGTCTGTGACTGGACAGCTACAGAAAGTCTGGGTGGGGTTTGAAGGGGAGGGCTTGCAAAGGCTGCAGAAAAAAGAACTACAGCTCTTACAAGCAGTTTTAAGATATACCACCAATTAAAAAACGATTAATTTAATGTATACATTCTTTCATTGGGGGTGCATCTACTAAACATTTTTTTTTAAATTTGGATAGTCGAGTGTCCCTTTAAGGTCTATTCTCAGGCAGGGCCAGATACCTGGGAGATGGCTTCTCTATTGTCTCTCATGTAGCACTGCATAATAGTTCTAAGAAACACCGTGATACATGGAGTCACAGCTACTATCACTGTGTAACCCCTTCACTACCCAAATTAAGCATACATTTTATTTGTATGTATTTTGCCTCACTCACCATGATTTATTCTCTAGTTATGATTATCAGAATGCCAGACGCCACTAGTCACTGATAGAATACCTGTAAAGTTGCTGATAATGTAAGATGATTCCCTGCTTTCAAACAATACAGGACCTTTCAATGGGTGATATCATTCCTACAGTCAGAGATGGGGAAGCAATACATAGACAACCAGCATTAATTTAACAGTCCTGAGATTGATCAGATTGCGTTAGCAATTTTAAGTACCTTTATTTTAGAATTATTTAACACTATTTACTGTATGTGGACATTATACTAGAATGCGGACATTCCGTTGCAATTTTTAGTAAGCTGTACTGCTAATAATGTCTTCAAGATCCTTTCAAATAGCTATAAGCAATGTATTGGACCATTTTTATTTATCTAATTGTGTTACATCTACTATGTGAGAAACAAAATTTTTGCTTTTTATAATAACATTTCAGACCCTGAGTGAATTATTGTAAGATAAAGGACACTGATTATTGTCTACAGCTGTTCATTACCCAAATGTGTTTTTTAAAAAAAAAAAGGAAGAACGAGTAAGTGAAAAATAAAAAAAATTGCGTATATTTACATAATTTTAATTGTTTACCTGTGAAGCACTCTATATCCAAATATATGTTTATATGCTAGCTATCGTTCCTTGCTTCAAATAAATGTTATGTTAACATTTTTTAAATCAAAAAGTACTCGTTAGTGAAAGGTGTTAAACCAGCCCTGAAATTAGATTTTTTGTTTTTGCTTACAAAGCCTATATAGTGTTACCTAAACTCTACTAAGTAATATAAAAGTGTTTTTTTATTTTTTATTATTTGTCCATTTAATAAAATGTATGAATAAATGTAATTTACACATAAATTAAGGCATACGCATCACCTAATTGTTGAATTTAAACATGTAAAATAATGCAATGTATGTTTTCGTTTAAAAGCTTTTTTTTTTTTTTTTTAAGTGCACACTGTTATATTCATTTTTTTTTCACACACAAATATTTCACACTCTTTATCTAGTATTACAATTTTATACACAATATAATAGTAAATCTATTATCTATTGTAAAATATGTACCTATACATCCAGGTATTAAGAATTTTGAATACACATGATTGCTTTGTTTGTTTCTCTTCAAGCTTTCCAAATTTGTGAGCAAATAGATGAAGATTGTGCACAAAGCAATTTCAAAGGGACAGTTTAATCAACGCAGGGCACCACAACTTAATCTAAATTATTGTTATAGTTTCTGGAGACCCACGGCACACTCTTACCAAAAAATGCCTCTCTGCACCCCCAGCCGGCATCTGGCTTCTGAAATTTCACTTTCAGGAAGCGGAGCAGAGTGTTGTCAGGCAGGGATGCTGCTGCTTGGCTAAGAGCAGTCAGCTGTTGCTCTCAGCCAATCAGTGACTCATCTTTCATAAAACTGGTTTGAAAAAGGTCCATTTCTTTTCAAGCCAGTTTTGTGAATGGGGAGTCACTGATTGGCTGAGACTGTCAGCTGACTGCGGCGGCAGTCCTGCCCCTGCCCAACAGTACTCCGCAGTTCCTGAAAGTGAGATTTCAGAAGCTGCATGTTGCCTTGGGGGAGCGGAGATTGGCAAAGGAGGCAAGTTTCTCGAACAGTTTAACCCCTTCAGGTAAAAGTGCGCCGGGGGCCTCCTGGCACCATAACAACTTCATTTACATTTAGATGCTAGAAAGGCTGCCAACAAAAAAATCTTTGGACCTCTTGCATAGCTCAAGGTCTGGGTCCCTGGAGACTTGCTTCCAAGCCTGCCCTCAGGGCCCCCTCCACGCCCATAAGGACGCAGTGTGTGTAGAGCGGATATAGGGTGTGTGTGTTAGTTCATGTGTAGTGGATGCAGTGTGTATATTGTGTATCTAAATATATATATTCACACACACACACACACACACACAAAATGTGTGTTGGAATGTAGGCTTTTTTTTTTGTATGGAGTATTTGTGTTTGAATGCAGGCATGAATTTGTGTATAGTGTATACACGTACACATACTGATGCACAGACACACATGCAAATACATACAGACACACACAGGTAATGTTTTAGCCACCCTCCTGTTTCTTACCTTTTGGGTGCAGGAGAGTGGCTGGGTTTGTTGGCAGTTGTCTGGCAACTGGCTCTCCCATGCAGAGTAAGCTGGGAGGAAGTGACCAGCTGTCCCTTCCTCAGAGCACTGGTGGTGGCTGCCATTTTTAAAAGGGGCTGACTGCGCCCCTGAAGACACATGCCCAGCGGATGGCCCTAAGTGCATGGATGGCAATCACCAACCAAATTAACCCAACAAAAGCTCCTACCATTGACTCTACTCTCTGGGCTTCAGGATGGAGTGTTTATAACACCTACTTATCACCACCCATTCTCTGGTAGAAATCATGCCAGAGAATAACTGGTGGATAATACTACCATATAGTCCTGTTTAATTGAGGTGATAGGGCCAGGACACTATAGCCCTTACCCGTCACTAACCTCAGCAGCATAGGGTCATCAAAATTCCCTTCCAGAGAGCTGCTACATTCAATTGTGGACAGAAAGTACCTGCAATCTTCTCTCCATTGTTTCAGAATGCAAGGTAAGTGGTTTGTCATACTCCCTGATACTCAAAATTGTAGAAAAAAAACCATCACTCACCTTACAATTAGTGCGTCCCTCTGAAGCCACGAATGGAAAATAAAACAGGGCAATCACCTTCAAATGCAATTCATTCCCAGTTGCCAATAACTACTTTTCCATGTGTTGCACCATCAGAGAAGACATATATACCTTATTCGCCCATATTTACCAAATATCTTGTTTGTGGATGATCTTTTAAACACACAGCAGAAAAAATTTCACCCCTCTGCCCCCTTGGACCAACCATTACTTGATATAGATAGACTAACATATGCCTGTGAGAGTTGCAAGTCAGGTTCCAAGAAGCAGTGGAGATCCAACTGGCTATTTCCAAAAAAACTTTACTTGAAAATCTAAAAGAATGGCAGAAAAGGTTATTAAAGTCAGCTATTGACTACAGGTCGGTGGCATGTCATCCCTACCCTTGACTCACCAACCTAAAACAAATGTTATGGAACATTGCTGGAGACAATTAATGAAGACAGATGAAGACAGAGCTGGTATTTCCCCTCATTCTCCAACCAAGAATTCCTACACAACCTGATAAGTTAAGACATTCTCACATTCTACACTACAGATGGAGAACGCTCAAGAAAAAAGGTGTAAAGCACTTCTCTTTCAACTTGCTACCTAGATGCCCTAACCCCTCTAACCTTTCCCTCATCTGAATTTTCACCTAAACTATAGTTTGAAAGGTATTTAAATCTTCTAGAAGTAGCCAATTGTAAAAAATTGTATATGTCTGCTAGAACCTATAACAAGCTGTTTTTTCAGTATATATATATATATATATATATATAAATATATTTATATATATAACCCCACTGTATCCATGATGCAAAATATTTGACTGTATGAGGGCTGTCCGTGTAATTCAACAGAACTCTCTCCTGTATATGCTGCAGAAGTATTGATTTTCATGCTACAATCGAGAGCACACAGTGAGTTAAACAACAATCAACTTGCAATAGCAACTTTGCTCAAAATATTTCTGTGTTTACAAACAGATTAAATTCCTCAAAAACGTATAAATAATATCATTCGTTATACACGTGGGACAGTTTTTCCAAGACGATTAAACATTCTTTTTTCCCATACTAGTTATACTGGTAACCACTGTGAAGCAAGAAAGGATTTACGACAGAGCTCAGATGCTCTACATAACTAAACAATGCCATAAATGATTTTGGTACCATAATAATACAGTACGTTGATTGACTTTTGAACGTCTTCATATCTCTAATATGGCATAATTTTTCCATAATGCACAGCTCACCGTTACATATCTTTTTTTTTTAATATTTATTTTTTATTGAAGGTTTTTCAAAGGTAAAGATCCAGTACACAGTTGTTTCATAGTGTATACAACGAGTATTCAGCGGGTTACAGGATAATATATTTGTACTTTAAAGTTATACAGTAACATCATCTGCCTCCGTGTACTATGTAACATTTTATCGAAGCTGGTTTGCAATTACTCTTCAATTGGGTTGGTATTACAATTCAAATAAACGTAACAAAGGTATATACACAAACAAATATACAGGCAAATCATAATAGTTTGAATCCAGCATTTCCTGCGTACTTTGGCCATGTCAGCTCACATAAGTCACCGTCCATGTTTCCCTGGGCCGCCCTGACTCTTCTGGGTCCCCTCTTCCCCTCTCACCCTCCCTGGTGTTTCTGTCTCTCATACCATGTCTCCCAGATATTCCAAGTGTTTTGGAACCTTTCCGTGGCCCTGGCGTTGTCAGTGGACATTTTCTCGTATATATAGAATTGTTGTATTTTGTCTGCCAATTGGTGGATGGCTGGGCAGCGAGGTGTTTTCCAGTTTAGAGCTATCAGGTTTCTAGCGGCCATTAAAACTATCCCTATCAATTGTGTGTGGTTTTTTTGTGTTGTTTCGGGGAACAGCAAGAGTAGGCAGGTCGTTATGTCCATGGGGAAGTCTCTAATGCCGAGATCTTTCAATAGGGTCTGAACATCTCTCCAGATAGGTTGTATCCCTCCACAATGCCACCATATGTGTGGCAGGGTTCCCTCTTCCACACCGCATCTCCAACATTTGGTGGAAACGTCTGGGTACATTCTGTGTAGTCTGGTGGGTGTCATGTACCACCTATATAGTAGTTTGCGATGCGCTTCAATATGTGAGTAGCACTTGGTCCACTTTTTGATCCCATTTAGGGCCAGCATCCACCTGTCCTCTGTCATGACTGTCCCCCTCTCAGTCTCCCAGTGCTGTTTACATGTCATCGGTTTTTGTGGTGCTAGGTCAAGCCATGCTTTATAGCAAAGTGAGAGGGCTTTGGGTTTCATCGGGGCTGTCCAGCATCTGTGGGGTATCAGTCTCGCTGCTACCGCAGGAGTAGGCCCAGTGTGAGGTGTGCCCTTGACGTGTGTGTTTATTGTGTTTTTCAGTTGTAAGTAGGGAAAGATATCCCTCTCCGGGACCTTCCATCTGTCTCTGATGTCTGGGAAACTCATGATCGTCTGGTCTGTACACAGTTGTTGGATTTGGGATATACCTAAGCGTGACCATCTGTTTAGTGGGATCGTAGGATTCACTGCATGTAATGCAGTAAGGGGAGCTTCAGGGTGGAAGTGTTTCCTCCAGCCCAGGGAGGACATAAAGTCGTCCCATACTCTGACCGTTGCGAGTGTGGTGGGGTATAGAGTTACTTTGGGTCCTCTTAGTGTTCTCGGCGTCCATAGGTAATTAAGCAGTGAGGTGTGCTTAAGTTGGTCTTGTTCCATATCCACCCACTGTGTTACCCCCTTTTGGGCGTGTATGTGTATACTCGTTGCTAGGATAGAGGCTTTGTAATAGAGTCCAATGTTGGGCATGCCTATACCCCCCGTTTGGGTCGTCCGTTGTAGGAGACCTAGGGGCAGCCTGGGTTTCTTACCCCCCCAGATGAAGGAGTTGCATATGGCTTGTAACGATTTGTGGATTGCGGCTTGGATGTCTATTGTGAGCATGCGGAATATATACAGTAACCTTGGCAAAAGCATCATCTTATATGCATTCACTCGGCCCAGCCAGGACAATTTTGCATTCTTCCATTT